TGAGTTATCTCTAGAACTCAAGAGTTCAAGAGTAGCCTGAGATACAATCTACAGGGATCTCATCAACTACTAGAGTTACAAAACCGGGGTCCTTGACCAGAAGAGAAAATATAAATCACTAACCGTGAATATATGATAATCAATAGCTTCTAAAGGGAAGAAGGTTCCAAGGAAGAACTTGTAATTTAGAAGCAAGAGTAACACACTGATTTGAAGGTTTTTCAAAGGTGAGCTTTTGTAAGGTGTTTGTAGAGGAAGGTCTTAATAAGCTGGCTTGTAGAAAAAGTTTTAAGTTTTTGGTTAGATGAGATATCAATGGAAAAGGTTTTATAGGGTATAAATCAGATGGCCTTCTTGTTGCTCAATCGAATGGATGCTATTTATATTTCCCAGGCGGTTAGGGACGACTTGTGGTCGGAAGGTACTTTGTGTAGCTCCTTTGTAAGTAATCTAGGTCTATAAGTAGATATCTTTACTTTCATCCCAATTGGGAATGTTGGTTGGCGCGTTTCTTGATTGTGATAAAAAAGGCATAGTTGTATTTCTTTCTCTGCTTCTGGGTTTCAAATACTCTAGTTCTTGTTTTTGCTTCTTTGGGAAAGTATATGTATTTTGTTTTCTTTAGTCATTATGGTGAGGCTTGTTAGTCAAGTTTATGTTTCTATGATAGTCATCATTCGTTTTGTTTATTTCTTGGGTGGTCTTTGGAACTAGACCTGGAAGTTGTATTGTTATTATTTCTGTTATTTATTATTATTTTTTGTGATTGATATTTTTATAAGAATATTTGCAAGATAAGGATAAACAAATATGGATTTTACTTTGGAGGCTTCTCTGGGTCTCCGTGAGGAGAGCTCAGGGCTGACAGACTTGGGAAACTAACCTAAGAATCTGAAACAAAAACAACCACAAAGTAAAAGAACCAGTTAAGTAAGGAATGTAAGTTTGAAATAAGATCTGATAGATAAATACCTAAGCTTATTGGAGGAAATGTTGAAGTGAGAAAAAATAAGAATGAGAACAAAGATAAGGCTTGAATAAGATCTACTGGAATTTCTAATATAACTTCTAATGTCAGTATCATCACTATGATAAAGGATAGAAACTGACTCACTCTCTCTCCAACAGATGAGGAGAGAGAGTGTTTGTGTGGGACAGAGTTGTATATATGGAAATGAAAAATCAGTCAAAAGTACAATGGGGAAGATGTATGATAGGGTTGGTCAGGATAACATCAGAGAACAACAGCTACTAATAGACAAGATAGAAATGAGAAAGCATAACAACACTACTAAATGAGATAACAGGTAAAATGATAGTTATTCCCTTTGAGATGATTCAAGATACACTCATCATCTAGGTAATAAAATTGTCCCCACTCATCTTGATCAAAACTAACAAACTTTGATGTTATATGGTTATGATACAAGCTGGTCTAGTATACCTTCTGATACTCGCGTAGTCAAAGCTCGACGGTCTGGTATTTTCTCTTTGTTTTCAGAGACAAAAGTATTTGCCGTAAAATGATATGTATCATGCCATTCACCATACAATGAAAGATGGTGACTCCACTGTTGATCCTCTGGGCAAAATCTCTGAATTTGTTGTGAGCAGTTGGGGCTATGACTTGGTACCAAATGAAAACATGGGCTATGTCAACAGGGTGGATGTATGCATGGGTGTCGGTGTGGAAATCAAAATCAATGACCATTTTTTCTAACATTACCTGTTGATATTTATTCAATCAAGGATTCAAAGTTATTATAAAAGATTCAACTTTTATATCAATCTTATATTTTGGATTTTTCTTCATTTGCGCACTCATTTATATTGTTCTGTTACAATATCAATTTATTATATTTTGTTTTACAATTGGGAGTTATAGACTTCTTCAAATCCAAGACTCAAGTATAATTACTCAACTCAAACTGATTTTGATTATAGCTTATTATCTTCAACTTTGGTACTTTAATCATTCTATTATTCATTTCTTTACAACACATAAAACTACATACAAACAAAAGAAGAAATGCTTAAAAAAAACAAATAAAGAATACCTACAGTCCAATTAAAATGAAGGTGTCAGTATTATTCATTATCAAGATTAGGGTCCAAAGTCGAGGTTTAAGATTAGAAAGAAATAGGATTGTCATACCAAGATAGAAGGCTGAAATCGAAATTGAAGAGGTTGATTGATGAAGGTTGTAGTTGAAAAGGAGTTGAGATCGAAATTGAATCAGTTCAATAGATCTAGGGTGTGATTCTGAAGATGAGAAGGTGGAGAAGATGTAAAAAAAAAGACTTACTTGAAGGTTAGAGTGTTGAGTTAAGATTGAGGGTAGGTGACATCAAGATCGAGATGGGTGGCTGAGGTCCAACTGAATCAAAGATTGATGAAGGTGGTAGTTGAAATTGGAGCTGTAGATCAAAATTCTAAAACTGAAAGTAACAATAAGAGTGGTGATGATTCAGTTTCAGTAATTCAAAAGAAGGAAATGGAATGAAACTTACCTACATAGTGAACAAAATTGAAATTGGATGACTCACTCTATTCGAGACCAGAAATCAAATCCTAAATGAATAGAGCCAGGATGATGTTAATGATATCTGGATGAGAAAGGGAGAGTGGAGAAGAGGGAAGTGGAGAAAGATTAAAAGAAACTTACTGTGATGTGATTAGAGAAAGGAGGGGAATAAGTTGATGAGGTGATGCCGAGTGCAATCGGAGCAAAACTTAAATAGATTGGTTGGGGCAAATGGAAGTGCGTGTAAAGGCGTGGTTTTGAGAGATCGAGCGAGTATAAAAGGAGGGGGTTTCTGGCGAAATCGAGGAGGAGGAAGAAGGATCCTATCATCCTATCATGAGTTTGATTTGATCAATGTGTGTGTTCTTTCTTTTGTGATCAAGTTCGAGTGATTGTTTTAAAAGAGTCTTGAAGTGTTTATTTTCAATCTTGAGGTCTTGTTTGTGTGATTAAGATAAAATAAGTTGTCTTGAAGAGTTTTGTTGAATTTAAATAAGGCTATTGATAGTGTTTGAGCGTGATCTACGGTGTTCTTGATAACTTGCTGAGAGTGTAGTGTTTGAGTTATTTGTAACGATTTCAAATATGTAAAGACATTTCACATAAATATTAAAGAAAAAGATATGTAACAGATTTCAAATGAAAACATTGGATAAAGAACAAGTTAGATAGTATAGATAATTACAAATAAGAAATTAGATGTTAAAGAAGATTGTTGGAAATAGGTAGTTAGGAGAAAACAAGTTGTTAAGGAACAAATTAGTCAAGTTGTTTTGTGTATATATGTACACCACAAGGACATGCTGATGTCCTAGGGACGTCAGGATTTTTTGCAGGGGAAGGGATATCCTGACGAAACTGATCCAAGGAGCCCGGGTCAGAATCAAAATTCGGGACATCCCACGGGCTTCCAAGGGTGTTCTTATTTAAATGTAGGCCCAGCCAGGCATCCTGAGTGTGTGCTGCGGACGTCCGCGGGCACTGACATCCAGGGGACAGCCCCAACGGGGGTGCCGACGGAAGCATACAACCTCAGACAATCCCGACGTCCTTCCGCTCAAAAGTGTCTTCGTGGTGTAGTCTTCTATTTTCATGTTTTATTACTTTTTCTTCATCGAATTATTAACGTATTTTGTCACCTTTTAAATCTGAGTTAAATCTCGAAGAGAAGAAATGATCTTTGAGACCCTAGACCAAGGCCCTTAGAGCATCCGCAATCGTTTGCGTTAAATTTGGCTTTAGCTAAAGCTAAAGTTACAGATCTTTAGCCGGGGTTAAGTTAAGTAACCCCAATTTCCACACTCGCTGTCTTTAACTTGTAGTTAAAGAGACGTAAACTCCAAGTTAATGACTCGGCCCACAATCGTGAGCGTTAGCTTGGAGCTATGTAGTCCTCAAATTCAGGCAAAGCACGGATTTGGGTTTCTTCATCGCTCACACGCTCAACAGCGTCAAATTCACCATGTAATCGACTTGTTCCTCATCATCAGGGGACAGTTTTTTGAATCGTTCCGGTTCTCCACTTTCATCATGTATACAATCAATCAACGTAAAACCTGAGTTTTCACTTTTCATTCTTGGCTCAAGTCTGCAAATTCATTGTTGCAGAGCTACATCAACACTGTAAGATTGATAATCTAGATACATCAATGCTAGAATCAATGGTGAAAGAGATCCAAGTCAAACCGAAAAGTGTAACAACGTGAAAATCGAGATGGAAGATGAGTAATGTGATGGTCAAGAAGGGGTGAATGGTGAATGTTGAAAATTTAAGTTGAAGTTGATGACTTGTATTGGGGGATGAGACACGATGATTGATCGAGTGTTGTTGCAATTTGGTGGAGGTTGGAACTCAGAGTTAGCTACCGCGTCGGTAGGCTGGGATAACTTTGTCCCAGCCTACCGATTTTTTGTCGAAAAGCTAACTAACGATCGGTTGAAATTTGACCATTGTGGAAATTTAAAAATCGGCGAGTTAAATAGTTAGCTATTCCCGCGACTTAACCCGACGATTGCGGATGCTCTTACAGTATAATTCGATCTTTAAAACTTATTTCAAGAGTCCTCATTTTTTGCGCTTTTCTTTATTTTTTATTTTTTTCGGTCTTAGCAGTGATAGGTTTTTTGTTGCTGTCTGAGATCAAATGCTCTGAAATTTTTTTCTTTTTATGTTTAAATTTATCAATTTTATATGTATATGATCCGACATTACGTAAATTACGTATTTTTATGTTCATAGTTTTAGAAGTGGTAGTTCCGTTATTTCTACTTGGGGGATATTACGTCATTGTGATCTCTTCGTGTGTATGGTGGTTATTATCAAACTTCAAAATTTGGTTTTCTTATATTTTACGACCTTTTGGTTCTTCTTTCTTTCTATTATCAGATTATTATCATCAACATCTAAAAATTATTATCTTTAGGTATCAATTGATATTACATTATTTCTCAATATTTCTTTTACACCTTTTAATCATGTCTCACAATCCGTCAACTACACCTCCTGCTCTATACGTACTTTCATCTCAAGAACAACAATTTGTGTCTCGTTACTTGGAACCTAGATTCGAAACGTTCAATACTAATGTGAATAATGTCATAAACACTCGGAACGACACTGCTTCGGCGGCTATAGAAGCTCTTCTTCAAACTTCGGTTATTCAAGCCAAGGCTGAAGTTTTAACAACTCTCCGAAATGAATGGGTTCAGGCAAAAAATGAAATTTTAACTACTCTTCGAAATGAATGGAAGGATAAGTTATCCTTGGATACTATTGAAGCCAAGATCAACAGTTGTTTGGATGATGGTATTACTAAAGTCAAGAAGACTTGTTTGGACGCTTTAGATGACGAATTCAATTCTCTGAAGCGGAATTTACCTCAACTTAACCAGCAACCCACGGTGGAACCTCCGGTGATCTCTGGTGTGACTTTTGATGGAACTGATCCTAGAAAAGTACCAGGTTTTTTAAGTGCGGTTCGAGATTGTTTATTTGCTAACGCATCATGTTTTGCAAACGATGACCGTCGCATCACTTGGGTGGCCAAGCATTTTCCTATCGCATCAAGTCCTCACGATTGGTGGATGAGTCTCTTGAAACTGAATGATCGTGAAAACAATGTCTTGGATTCTGACGGTTTCTCGTTTGCTCCAACTCCTTTTACGATTGATACTTTGAAATCATTGAAGGATTTTTTTAAAGAATTTTTGAACAAATTTGGTGATAAATTTGCTGAAGAACGTCTATTTCAGGAATTACAATCTTTTAAACAAGGAAAATTACCTGTCGGACAATTCATTTCACGTTTTAACTCAATGGCTTTTCAACTCCAACTATCGAATGTGGTTTTAAAAAATCTGCTTACTTCCGGTTTACGTCCTGATGTTAAGGATCGTGCTCTAAAGCACCCGGATTGGTTTAAGTGCTCCAATGTCGAGGATCGTCAGGCAGTAGCGTTAATGGCGTCTGAACAAATTATGCACGTTAGTGCGAATAACGCCTCGTTAGGACAATCCATGCATCGTGCAATTTCATCTCAACCTGCAGTTCAAATTCCTAGAGATCCAAACGCTATGGATGTCGACATCAATTCTGCCGATTCTAGACGCCTTTTTCCTCCTTTACCAAATGGGTTAACTTTTGGTTCTTTTGTCAAGTTTTGTCACGCGCGTTCAATGTGTCATCGATGTCTCAAGCCGTACGATTCGACTCATAAAGGACCGGATGGAAAAGGTATTCCCTGTCCGAATCCTCCGCCTAAGACCACTCAAGAGATCGAAGTGTTTATGCAGCAGAACCAAACGAAAGCTCAATCATCGGTGGCAGCAGTTTCTTCGTCTCCTCATAGAGTTTCGCAACCCCGTCCTGCTAGGCAGTTGCATCAACAACCTTACCATGTGTTTCACCATTATCCTCAACATTTTACTCATCTTCCTCAAGTTCAATTGCCTCCAAATTTTAATCAAGTCCCCATGACGAGCTCAGGTTATCATCCTCCTCCTCATTTACAATTACCGGCTTTTCAGTATGGTCCAGTTTCTGAACCTTCTGCTCCTCTTAATCATCAAGTTCAAGCATCTATGCCACCAACGGCGGGAGTCTCCAATCCTACTCACCAAGTTGCAGCTCTATTTTCGGAATATCAAAACATTGACCAACCGACCTATTACGACAACTCTCAGGATCCGCCTCAAAATTTCGAGTTCGACGCTAGACCCATGTTTGATCCTACCAATGATGGTATTACGGATGCTACCGAACATTCTATTTCAGCAATTCATTTTAAGAACTCATCAGCTTCAGATACGAGATTGATCCTGTCAGTAAAACTTACGGTAGATGGCAAGTCATTTCCAGCTAAGGCATTGGTAGATTCAGGTGCTTCAGGCAGTTTCTTAGATAAATCTTTTGTAAACAAGAACAAATTCATAACCACTCCTCGGGTATTTCCTTTACGATGTGTTACTTTTGATGGTTCTACCGGAAAAGATGGCTTAGTAACTCATTTCTGGCAAGGAGGTTTATCAATTTCTGATACGGAGAATCAACTTTTCAATTCTGAAGTAAAGTTAGACGTTACCGTTTTAGGAGGATACGATTTGATTTTAGGCATGGACTGGTTGAGATGTCATCAAGGATGGGTGGGGGGATGTGGCCCATCTCTTCGTCTAGATGCTCCAGTTAATACAGGGTTTTCCACATTAACTGGTAAATTTTTGTCTCCTCTGTCTTCTACTTTTTCGCCCTCTTCCATTTCTGCTTTACCTTCTTCAATCTCTTCTTCAAATTCGCTTTCTTCAAACCCATCATTAAGTTCAATTCCAGTTGAATTTCAAAGGTTTGCTAATGTATTTGAATCACAGGCCCAGTCGAGTTTACCTCCTCATCGACCGGCTTTTGACATGGCTATTAATCTGAAGGAAGGAGCGGTACCAACTTATGGAGGTTCTTATTTGATTTCAAAGCAAGATGAATTAGAATTGAAGGTGTGGATTGACAGTCAGTTAGCGAAGGGCAACATTCGACATTCATCATCGCAAGCAGTGTCGCCTATATTTTTTGTCAAGGTTCCAGGAAAGAAAAATCATCCATGTGTTGATTATCGGTCTCTAAACTCAATTACTATTCGTGACTCATTTCCAATTCCATTATTAGGAGATTTATTAACTCGAGTTTCAGGTTGCAAGTTTTTTACAAAGTTAGATTTGAAAGCGGCATTTAATTTTATCAGGATAAAAATGGGGGATGAGTGGAAAACTGCGTTTAGGACACCATGGGGGTTGTTTGAATGCCTGGTTATGCCTTTTGGTTTGGCAAATGGCCCAGCTTGTTTTCAACATTTCATTCAATCAGTTTTGTCTGAATTTTTAGGTATCTTTTGTTTTGTATACATTGATGACATTCTAATTTTCTCTAAAACAAGACAGGATCATGAAAGACACATTACTGAAGTTTTGAGCAAGTTACAACAACATGAGTTGCACGTTTCACCAGAGAAATGTCAATTTTATAAATCAGAGGTTATCTTTTTAGGTTTTTTGATATCAAAGGATGGCTTAAGAATGGATCCGGCTAAATTGCAAACTATTACTGACTGGCCTTACCCTGTGAACTCTAAGCAGCTTTACAGATTCCTTGGTTTCACAAATTTCTATCGTCGTTTTATTCACCGATTTTCTTCAATTGCATCCCCTCTTACTTCTTTAACACGAAAAGATGTTGATGTCGTCGCGGGATTGGCAGAACCTGAGTGCTTTCTATCTTTCAAACATTTAATACTTGCCTTCACAGTTGCCCCCTTACTCTGTCATTTTGATTTCGAAAAGCCTAGATCCTTGCAAGTAGATTGCTCGGGATTCGCTATGGCGGCTATCCTCTCACAACCTGACAAAGATGGGAATTTGATGCCGGTATCTTTCTTTTCACGGAAATTGACACCCGCGGAAAGAAATTGGCAAGTACATGACCAAGAGTTAGGTATAATAGTGGAATCATTCGAAGAGTGGCGCGCTTGGTTAACCGGCACACCCACCCCAGTGACAGTATTCTCAGATCACGCAAATCTTCGTTATTTTATGACGTCTCAAAAGCTAACGCCTAGACAGGCGCGATGGGCTTCTTATTTAAGCTCTTTTGATTTTCAAATTCTTCACACTCCAGGCAAAATAAATCCTGCCGATCCGCTATCTAGAAGACCGGATTATGAGTTTATCTCACAAGATTCAAACCAAATGACTCTACTAAAACCTTATATGATAAAGGATGGAGTCTCGGTTTGTTCCATTGATACTTCATTTATAATTCCTTCTTCTCAAACTCGTGATCTGCTTATTAATTCGTATAAAGACTATGAAGGAATAGATGGCTCTAAACCTCCACCTCCATTTTTTTCATTAAAAGGGGGATTATGGTGGTATAGAGACAGGCTATTCGTGCCTCTTCCGTTACGACAACAGATCCTTCAATCATTTCATGACTCGACGTCTATGGGACACCCTGGAATTGCTCATATGATAAATGCGATATCCCGAACATTTGGTTGGCAGTCACTTCGCAAAGATGTGATTGATTATGTGCGCAGCTGTGATTCATGTCAAAGAACGAAGCGATCCACGCATAATCAGCAAGGCGAATTAATACCCTCTTCAATTCCTGATCGTCCTTGGAGTGTTATTGGCATTGACTTCATTGTCAAGTTACCAATTTCTTCAGGCTGTGATTCAATTTTGGTTATCACGGATTATTTTTCAAAAGGTGCTCATTTTATTCCGTGTAGGGAATCAATGAGTGCACCCCAATTAGCTTCTCTTTTTGTTTCACAATTTTTTTGTTATCATGGTTACCCAGATAAGATCATATCAGATCGAGGGTCAACGTTTGTTTCTGCGTTTTGGACGGCGGTTCAAAGACAACTTCGAATTCAACCAGCTCCTTCAACGGCGTTCCATCCACAGACGAATGGACAGACAGAAAGAACGAATCAAACCTTAGAATCTTATTTACGACATTTTATCAGTTACAGACAAGATGATTGGGTGGATATCTTGCCTATGGCTGAGTTTTGTTTCAACAATACTGTTTCTTCTTCTACAAAATTGACTCCGTTTTTTGCTTGGCAGGGATTTCACCCGAGAGCAAACAGTTTTACCGAGTTTTCAAGAGTACCACAAGCAGATAAGTTTGTGGAACAATTGGAAGCTACTCACCTAAATTTATTGATTTCTTTAAGGCATGCTAAGCAGGCTCAAGCGGATCAATATAACAAACATCGAAGACCTGCACCTGAATATGCTCCTGGAGATTTGGTATGGCTTTCACGACAAAACATCACATCGGCGAGGCCTTCTTCAAAGCTTGATTATAGGCGCATAGGTCCTTTCCCAGTAGTACAGATGGTGGGAAAGAATGCAGTGAAATTAAACTTGAGCAGTTCATATTCTCGGTTACATCCTGTTTTTAATGTTTCTCTCATCTCACCTTATGTTCCTCCGGTTGTAGGAGGACGGGACTTACCAGCAAAAATAGAGTCAAAACCAATGGCAACATCTAACGATTGGAGACATGTATCTGGGATTCTGAATTATAGACAGAAAGGCAAAGCACCCCCGGAGTACTTGATACAATGGTTGGGACGGCCAGTCTCAGATGATACATGGGTCTCATTACCTGACATTTCTTCGGATCTCGATTTGTTTATATTGAATTTCCATGCTAAATATCCCCAATTTCCTTGTCCGTCTTCGCTTTTAGATTCTCGTTTTTCGATGGGATATCAGGCGGCGTTGGGTTGTTTATAGGATAAACGGTGATCATTATTGTAACGATTTCAAATATGTAAAGACATTTCACATCATTCATATAAGTTAAAGGCAAACCGTGTTCGCCGGCAAAACTCGACAAAACTCTCAATTAGTACTTTCAATTTGGAGGTTTACGCGTCCTTTGAGTAAAATCCCTGGCTCACGCTTTCACCTCATCATCTATCGTCAAGCTGCCATAACCTTTCACCTACTTCAACCACTTCTTCTTCCTCTTCTTCAAATCCATCATCTTCTTCATCTACAAATACATCAATATCAACATCTCAATCAATCTGACTTTCATCATCAAAATCAAATGACAACTACCAACAACAACTCATCTTCTTCATTACCACATGGTATGTTTAGTATCCCCAATGAAGAATGCACTGTTCAATATACTGTTAGTGTTGATCAACCTCTCTGTGACCAAAAATGAGTACTTACCTTTGTTCATTACCAATTTGAAACCAAAATTGGTCATGGTAATTAGGGTTCCATTTGGTGTATCTCCACTAATCCTTCTTTAAATGATAAAAATCAAACCTTCAAAAAAAGCCATCAAATTCATCCATCCTGATAAATTCAAATACAACCAAAGCTTGCGCTAAATCTTTATGGGGTGAGTTCAAGTCAAGTCGTGTTTTTCAGCATTTCCTCGACCTTGATCGAAGCGTTAAAATATGTTTCAATCACCTTGACTGATTTTGTGTTGTTTAATTATCTTTGTCTGTAGGAAATTACGTAATTTGGCTCCAATCAATCACCTAACTTTCTTAGGATTTCATCATTTATTATTTCTCCTTTGTAGGCACTTCTTACTTCTAACCTTTTGCCTGGTAGATTGACTGAATCAAGTTCTAGAGCTTTACCTGATTTACGTGGTCTCCTTTTGGGTGTTGAATTTCTACATTGTCATCACGTTACTCATAACGGTATTGAACCAGCTAACATGGTTATTAGTGAATAAGATCAACCTTTTTCATTGACTTTGAGTAAGGTTCTGGATTTCGAACGAATGGTTTTGAAAACAAAGATTTCAACTTCAACTGAAACCTTGACTTCAACATCTTTACCAACGTTCGACGGTCACCTTCACGACTCTTTGGAGGTACATCAACTTACATCCATCTCTTGGATTGAACCATATCAGATCAAGATGATCAACTCAAACTC